CTCAGCCAGGCTGCCACACTTTGCTACCAGCCAGCAGTGGGAGCTGAAGCCTAACTACCTCAGGTACTTAATGGAGGCTGGGGAGTTTCACTCAGTTCCAGCCCCACCCCTGATTGATGTTGCTGTCACTTATATTCTTGCGGGTCAGGCACTATTTGAGTTCACAGAAACTGAGACTCTGCCCCACCCTATGCTGCTGCCACTGTGACAGTTCTCACGGAGCTGTCATCTCTGTCATGTCTGTCTCGGCGGCAGTCTGTGTTGGGGCAGGCTTGCTTAGAACTCACAAACAGCTCTCAGTTCCTGCCCTTCTCTGGGCTGATGCTTCTGCCATGGCTGCTTTTGTCCCAGCTATACTCCACTGGGGGCTGGTTGATTTTGGGCTCACAAAAGCAGCAATTCTGACTCAGCCCCACCCTGGGAGTATGCTGCCCCTGCATGTGTGTTGATTCTATTCTCCATCTCCACTGCACCTCTCCTGGGGAACTTATCGCCTCAGGCATACCCATTGCTTACAGGGCCTGTGTTTCCATCCTGGATCTGTTCTGCCCATAGCTGCCACCAGAGCAGAGGCCTGACTCCCTCTGCTTGCTAAGAGAGGCAAGAAGTATTTCTCTGAAACATCACCAGGGGTGTGAGCCTTATCATTCCCACTGCTGCGCTGCACCGTAGGGCACTGTCTCTCCCTTTCCCGTATGGCTCCCTCACTCCACAGTCCCCACTTTACATCCATGTCGCCCATTCAACACAGACTTATAACAGCCCACACCCTGTCCACACCTCTCTAGAAAATGCCCAAGAATCTGAACTCCATGGGGGACAAGCTTCTAGACCACAGGGTGAGAGTGGAGGGGAGTGCCAGGAGTTCAGAACTGCAGGTAGCGTATATGTTCAATTTTATGTCTGGCAGGAGAGTGACATGGCACACTAGTGGGTCCTCTCTGGGGAAGGAGTTCCAGTTTTTAGAGGGTCTCCCCTGTGGGATAAAATAGGAGGAGATCTGAACTCTGCTCACTTGATTGTAGAAAGTATACTGCGAGCCATTCTCCTGGGGGCAGGGACGGGAGTTTTCTAAAACTCTTGGCGATGGATTTTATACCTATTGTTTGTTTCCTTGGGCTTTCAGCTTGCCTCAGCAGGGGTGCTGTGCACACTTCAGTCTTCTCTCTTGGGTCAGCTCCAGACTATCAGCTTACTTGTTAAACTTCTGTCCTTTAGCTCTCATTTTGGATGGGAGCCTCTGGGGAAAGCTGGCTTTAGTCAGACATCTTGCTTCCTCCCACAACATGATTGCTTTCAAAGGGCATCATAGTGTTCTTCATCATCATCATCATCTAGCACTCTGGAAGGCGAGGCAGAAAAATCCCTTGAGCTGAGGAGTTGGAGACCAGCCTGAGCAAGAGGAAGACCTCAACTCTGCTACAAATAGAAAAATTAGCCAAGCATTATGGCAGGCAACTGTAATCTCAGCTACTCAGGAGGCTGGGGCAAGAGGATCACTTGAGCCCCAGAGTTTGAAGTTGCTGTGAGCTAGGCTGTTGCTGTCACTCTAGCCTTGGGCAATAGAATGAGACTGGCCTCAAGAAAAAGCAGGACATCATAGTCTTGAAGTCCCTTTAATATAGCTTTGCCAAAAGGTTAGAAACAAAACAAAGATTAGAAAGATTTGGCCAAATAAAGTTTTTCATTTCTTTCTTAAAAATGTGAATTTCTGTGTACACTTTTATCCACCCTATTGCTTTTATATCAATGGATAAGATGAAAAGTTAGTACTAACAAATATTCTTGAAGTTCTCTAACATGTTCTGTTACAGTTTAACAAAATGTACAGTTGTCCCTCTGTGTCCATGGGAGACTGGTTCAAGGACCCCCGTGGATACCAGAATCTATAGGTGTTCAAGTCCCTTACATAAAATGGGGTAGTGTTTGCAAATGACCTGAACACACCTGTATACTTTTAAGTACCTCTAGATTATTTAGAAGACCTCACAGAACATAAATGCTATGTAACACTTAGCATTTAACAGCTAGAACTGTTAAACAGAAAGGAAATCTGTATTTAAGTAAGATTTCATTGTGTTTAAAATAACATGTATTTAAAGTAAGTGAATTAACAGAAATTGTAAGGAGATAACCAAAGATGTTTACATTGGAACAACCACAAATGTGGGGTGAGTCAAAACAGAATATAAACTGCAGGAACACGGGCTAGTGGAGCACAGGGGCAGAGAGAGCTGCAAAGAGGGAGAACGCGAGTGCCTGATGGCTGTGGAAACATCACAGAAGGCGTCGACTTGCATGTTCATGGAGTTTAGTGATGATGCAGGTTATTAAGGACCTTGGCAAGAGTTGTTTTCATAGGATAATGGGGTAGCAGCCAATTTGGAGTGGGGTTCAGGTGGCGTAAGGACTTGGAAAGAGCAAGTTTAGAAAGTTGGCTCTGAAGAAAGGTAGAAAGAGGTGGAGAGGTAAATGGAAGGTGAGGGGCTTGGGTTAGTAAAGACTGCTGAGATGTAGTTAGTTTAGAATGTTACTGATTTTTGTGTCTTGATTATGCATAGGAATATGTATTTTTAATCTGTTAAAATGCAAAATAGAGTGCTTTGAGAAAAGTAAGATATTCTAATAAATGTTCTTAATTTTGTTGCTCATTTGCAAGGACAGTTTTTGCTTAAAATAATTTAAATAAAAAGAAAAAAATAATAATTTAAATAGGGCAGTACTGTGGCTCAAAAGGAGTAGGGTGCCGACCCCATATACCAGATGGTGGTGGGTTCAAAACCCAGCCCCAGCCAAAAAAATAATAATAATAATTTAAATATATTCACATATATTTGGTATCTGATAATTAAATATAAAAAGGTTAATCACACGTAAGATTTTATACTTAACCTCTTTCTGAAGCATTGAAATGTGCTAAGTTAAATTTCTAGAACTGACAGTTTTTACCCATTTTATAAAGCAGTAGAGAACAGATACAAGGAAGAGTCTCAAAAAGATTTTTTTTTAAAAACTTGGTTCTAGGCTCGGCGCCTATAGCTCAACCGGCTAAGGCGCCAGCCACGTACACCTAAGGTGGCGGGTTCAAATCCCCAGCCCGGACCCGCCAAAACAACAATGACGGCTGCAACCAAAACATAGCCGGGCGTTGTGGCGGGCGCCTGTGGTCCCAGCTACTTGGGAGGCGGAGGCAGGAGACTCGCTTGAGCCCAGGAGTTGGAGGTTGCTGTGAGCTGTAATGCCACGACACTCTGCCCAGGGGGACAGCTTGGGGCCCTGTCTCAAAAAAAAAAAAAAAAAAAAAAAAAAACTTGGTTCTAAATCTTCCTTTTTCCTCTTTGATCTTAATGATCTTTAAGAATTGGTAGTGGTCCAGTCCTTACAGAAATACAGGTCACAGACTCCTGTGTCTGTAGTGATTATGACAATTTTATGCTTAAAATAAGTGTCCAAATAACCTGTGGTAGTATTTTCTGAGGCCAGGAGTAATAACAGCACCAAGATGATTTACAAAGCAAATAGAATGTTTTGTTTTACAGTCATAAGTAACTGTAAGATGAGAGGCCTAATGTGCTTTTACATTTTCAACTTAAGTATTGAATACCATTTCAGCTACGTTTTCTGTGCTATTAATCAGAATTTGACCTAGAAGACTCTCTAATGTCTTAGGAATCAGGGGTTTGAGCGTTCTGTTGTCTAAAAAGTCTCTTCCAACATTTCAATTTCTTAGTAATTTGCATACTACCCCTACTGTAGTTGTACAGAATTTGCTTTTAGGACACTTACCTTATTTTAATTTTCTTTGCCTTTTAACATAAAAATATACTTATTCCTTTATATCCTTTTGTTTTCCATATTTACCCGTTTCAAACAAAACATTGTTCACGGTTCCTGCTATAGTCATGATGAAACGAAAGCCAGTTCCGTAGGGGGGAGCGGTGGAAGTCTCATCTGTATTCTGCTTCCTTTTCTGTTTTGTTTCTTTTTTCCCTTCTCTATTCCCTACACCTTTTCTTTTTTTTAAATCTTCTTATTTTTCTTTTATTCTCCATATGTAGTCTTCTCTCCTTTTTGAATTTCTCTTGGTAGAGCTTTCTTCCTTTTTTCCCCCTTTTGTTCTACTTCAGCTGCCTCTCTTTGTTTTTGTTTTTCCCTGATTTCCAAAGATAACCTAAACAGCAGAAGGCACAGTTCCAGACTGTGGTTCCAGACCTGGCATTTTGCCTCTTCCTTTGAACATAGCCCTGTGATCTTTCCAACCCTCCTTTTTTCTCATCAGTGAAACGAATGCTGTGATACGTGCTCTGCTTATCAAACAGGATCGTTTCTCGCAGCCAGTGAGATGAGAGGCAGCGAGCACAGCCCTACGTCAGAGAGACAGGGTTTAGCACCCAGTTCCACACTAGCTATTTGTGTGGCTTTGCGTTAAGTTATGAACCCTCCTCTCTGATCCTGTTTCCTCATCTACGAAATGAGGATAATAGAGTCACTGTGAACATTAGAAATAATTCATGCAAAGCACTGGGACAGGGCCTGGCATATAGTAGGAGCTTAAAAAAATAATAGAATATGATAGTTGTCATAAAATTAATGTCATTGTGATAGGTAAAGGCACTTTGAAAATAAGGTACTACCCAAGTGTAAGGGGTCATTTTGCATTATAGTTTCTTAATGTTTGTGTTTTTAAATTCTCATTCTTACACGTAGTCTTCGTAAAGGCTTTTACTTCCTGGCCTGATCCCAGTTTCCCTTTCCTTTCCCCATCCATTCTCTTTTGTAAAACCTATTGTTTTAATATTTCTTCCTTTTATTTTTCATCATTTATCTTTATAGACAGCGGTAGCTCCTTCTCTGTCAACCTTTTTTGTTAGCACATATAAAACACCTTGTATGTTTTATTTCTCCCATAGATTAAAAATATTACAAACTTTTTTTGAAAATTGGACTACTTCTAAATGTTAATAACATGGCTTTTTGTATTATTTAAATTTGTGCTTTAGAGAGATTTTACACAAATGGAATCCTAAACAAATAGGAGAACATCTTCTACTCAAATCGTAAGTATCAGAAATAGCATTTTTATTGGAAATTTTTATTAATTTTTATAGTGGTAGACCTGGAGAAGACATTTTATTAAATATGGAAATTAGAGCAGTGAAATATTTGTGGGACTGGACCTTCAAAGGACAAGTAATAAAGAGTTTGGGATTAAATCCTGAAACATATGTCATCTTTAAAATAAGTCTTACTAGCTTGAAAAGCTGGAATCACAGCCTAATGCTTTTGTGTGGTCTTAGGAAGGTAGTAAAAATCTTCAATTTATTTAACCCAAATCTCCAAGAAAATTATATTATTTTGTTATTGATCACAGATAGAAATTTATTTGAGCAGTAACGAGTAAACCCCCCAAACCTTAATTCCATTAAAATATAACCCTAAAGGTGCTTAGTGAGTTTACAAGAGTAACCCATTTTTGTAGATTAGAATTTTATTCTTCACTTTTTAATTTTTTTTTTTTTAAAGATTGTGAATTGGAAATCCCCCAGCTTGCTGGCTCCCTCAGTGGGACATTCTAGCACATTATTACTTAGTGATGCCCATTCACCTTGAAAATCTACTTGCCAGGACCTGGCCCCTAAGGGTTAGGTAAGTCCCACCTTGATACTATTGTAAATAACAATATTTTGCAGGCTGGCAAAGTTGCAATGTTACTATATCTAAATATAGGTGATAGAAAACAACTTTGCAAAGCTGTGCAATATTGATTTTTAATAATAATAGGGGACTTCACTCACCATTAAAGGCTGGCTTAGTTCTGCTGGATGGGAAATCTGGGAATAATCATAATAGAATAATAGCAGAAAGGTATACTTACGCGAATATCACTAAAAAGGCAAGCTATAGAATGGATCCCTTATCCTGAGTTTTAAGTATTAGATTTATAATTGCATTAGCTATATGCAGGTAGATGTACAATGAATCATAAATGGGCCTGCTTTTCATCAGTTTAAAGTGAAATTTCTTTTCTTTACAGTCTGTCCTTGTTATTAATATTTGATTTCATTTCTGTTGATTTCCTATGATAAAGATCTCTGAAGTTTGTATCTTTAGATTATGTATTAGTAATTGAAAACCTTAAAAAAAAATCTAAGTTGATTATTTAAAAAACTTAGTGTAAGCAACTTGTTTCAGTATTCTGATAAATTTGTTTTAATTTCTACAGCCTAACTTACATAGTGGCAATGCCGTTTTATTCAGCAAGTCTAATTGAAACGGTACAGGTGAGCTATATTTTTTTTATCACTTTTTTAGTTAAAATTATTATTTTGAACATTTAATATATTGTATATGTCTGTTCAGCAGAAAATCTTAAGACAGTATCTTTAAAATGTTTCCTTCAGAGATACCACATACATCATACATTGTTTGTGTGTATATTTCCATTACGCACTTAGATCAGGCTTTTAATTTTTTATTTTTATTCTTTTTGTAGGCAACTATATGCTTCATTCAGATATCTCAGAACCAAGCCTATGACCTACTCTGAATGCACAGAATCTAATTAACTTTTTAAGGCCCTTATGTATAATTCAGATGGTTTTATCTTGTCAAGAACAGCAATTACCTGAGCATATTATACACGATAGAAAATCATTTTAACAGGGAGCAGGTTATCCCATAGGCAGTTTACTGACATTCTGTATACATACGCCTTTTAATGAACACGTGAAACAATGGTGTGGTAAGTACTACCAAGCTAAAGCAATTTCCTCCTAGCATTTTAAATTTTGTTTGCTTGTTTTACTATTTGTGACCACATGGTGGTGCTTCAAGTACATTGAATTACATGTCTTACCCTTCCTACACTTAAAAATGCAAGGTAAGAGTACTTATCTGGGGAATTGTACATCTGTCCTCACTTTAACATCACGTCTTCCACCACACTTCAGTGCCCTTTCTCTGCAAAACCCCCACCAGATCAGCCTTCCCTCTTCTAATTATTCTTTTCCACTCTAGTTTCTTTTTGGGCTCCATCATTAATCTTTGATATTTTGTTGTCATTGTTGTTTTTAGATCTTACTGCGTTTGACCTTATGTTAATACATTATATAACCCTTGTATGATGCTATAGAATTTATAGATTCACCAGTCAATAAGATATCCTCAATTTAAAGACAAGGAAAAATATAGCGGAAAAATAGTTACTTAAAGAAAAGCAACTTAAATAGCATGATTTATTGGGAGAAAACCAGTTTTAGCTTAGGGCAGAACCATACCAGAGTCACGTTTCTCTGCTTTCATTAGATCAGTGGCTTTGGATAAATTTCTTAACCTTTGTAATTGTCTTAATTTTATCTTCTATAGAATGAGAATAGTGTTTTAATAACTGAGCTGTACAAATTAAAATGAGTTACTAATGGAAGTGCCCAGCTCACTGTGGTAGAGTTTTTCTTTTTTTTTCTCCCAGTATCTACCCTGTGTTCCCTGCTGCAGGTTTTGCCTGCTGAATCTCTCCTTTGGATTCCTCTTGTCTCCTTTTCCAGAACTCTTTCTGCCTTCTTAGATTTCTGTTCTCTTGAATGTCATCTTTTTCCAGCCACATCTTTACTATACCGTACCTTTACTGCAGCGCCTCTTCTGTTACACCTTCAGCCTCAGTCCTTCCCCCTGTTTTTTGTCCAGTGCTCACTATCATGAAGGGACTCACTAACTCACTTGAATCATGTTAACCCTGATTTTATGTAAACTAAATCTTCACTTCAAACTCAGCTTATAAAAATAACCTTGTCTTATCCTGCTGAAAATGAGCCTCCTCTTTCTATTAATGACACTTTCACTCTAAAAACTCAAAACTTTAAATTCTGTTTTAGGAAAGTTTTTGATATTTTTATTTATTTCATCCTTCATAGCTAATCTGACATCATGCCTTCTTAGTGCTGACTTCAACAAGTATCTAAGATGTGTCTTTTTCTCTTCACCGTCCTTATCCCTTATCACATACCCAGCTTATTACAATATTTTCTTTCTTCCTGCTTCACACTCAGTGATTCTTTGCCCTTGTGGAAAGCTCAGATCTCTTTGAGAACGTTGTTTTCCTTGGAAAATACACATTTGTTGCACTTGTGTACATAGATCTCCCAAAGATCATCTACTGACATCCTTGAATATGAACTTCCTAGTATCTGTTTCTACATTAAGAATCCTTATTCTTGTTCCTGCATTTTAAAAGTTCATCCTACATACTCAATACAAGATTGGTGTCCTTAAGTTGCAATACTATGTCCTTTTGCTTATTAAGATACGTATTGACTCATATTCCCTAATGTGAATCTGAGACTTCTCAGCATAGTATTAAATCAAGGTTTTGATGACTTCACTTTACCTTGTTAGCGTATCCACGTTAACTCCTAAACATTTATTTTTAGATTTATCAAATAAGTCATTGCTGCAACCAAAGTAGCTGTCTCTTTTCACCTCTGTAATCTGATGTCACAAACTTTTTTATTCATATCCCCAAAATTGTAAAACGGTAGACATTACAGGTGATAATGAGATTAAATAACATTTATTGATTACCTACTGGGTGCTAGACCTTTTATATTTAGTAGAACAACTCTAGTCGTGTGTTTTATGAGATTTCATTTGGGGGAAAAGAAAATCTAATGCCTAGATAACAGTTGGAGTCTGAAGACCATTGTTGTTTTCCTTCTTTAGTCAGTAAATTAGGATGTAGAAAAAAACCTGCAAAGAGTCCTTTCATGTGTCAAAATAAGAAAATGTTAAGATTTACTTATGTCGTCCTTTTTATTTCAGAGTGAGATAATTCGAGATAACGCTGGCATTTTGGAATGTATTAAAGAAGGAATTGGAAGAGTGATAGGCATGGGAGTGCCTCATAGCAAACGGCTTCTTCCGCTTCTTTCCTTGGTCTTCCCCACGGTGCTTCATGGAGTTCTTCATTACATCATTAGTTCAGTCATTCAGAAGTTTGTCCTACTAATTCTAAAGAGAAAGACTTACAATAGCCACCTACCTGAGAGCACTAGTCCTGTGCAGAGTATGCTGAATGCTTATTTTCCAGAACTTATTGCTAACTTTGCCGCCAGTCTTTGTTCTGATGTTATCCTTTACCCATTGGAAACAGTTTTGCACCGCCTTCACATTCAAGGAACACGCACAATAATTGATAATACAGACCTTGGCTATGAAGTACTTCCAATTAACACCCAGTATGAGGGAATGAGAGACTGTATCAACACCATAAGGCAGGAAGAAGGAGTGCTTGGATTTTATAAAGGGTTTGGTGCTGTTATCATACAGTACACACTGCATGCAGCTGTGTTGCAGATTACCAAAATTATTTACTCTACACTTCTTCAAAATAGCATTTGAGATTTATGTTCCATCACTGGTTAGTTCAGAAGACATAATCTGGATGATTTGCTATGAAATTATGAGAGATTAAAAGTGAAATACTGGGGGAAAAAATGGATTGGAAAGTAAAGTTGGTTTCAAAACAAATGAGGAAAAAAAAATCCATGCTGATTATCTTGACTTCCTTTTTTTTTTTTTTTTAAAGGCATCGGTGTGTATTTTGGGTCAAAATACTTCCAAGTTTGAAAACGCAATAAAAATAACACTTAAATATATTAAATCCTAGTTAGTGTAGCACTCATGGTGAAGTAAAAATGATCCTGGGCAGAAGCAAAACCTAATTATCAAATATAAAACAAAATTTCATCGAGCTGAATCTATCCCGTCTGACCTTAACATTTGTTATGTGTTATTTGACCTTGTAGACTGATGTTTGCATGTTGGCCTTAATACAGCATAGTATCCTTAATACAATCTGGAGGTTTTACTTTTAAAGAAATAAATTATATCATCATTGAAAAAGACTGAGAGGATGAAATTTGGAAATCTGTAAGAGGAGGTGAAGGGTTTTAAATTGTGTTGTCCCTATGTAACTATTTCAATGGCTGTATATATGTATTTTATAAAGCCATTTGTGCAGGCACATATGACTTGTAATTTCCTCCATCCCTACAAGTTGTCTACATTTAGGTCAGCTTACTGCATAAAATTAAGTCGTGTACTTCCTGCTTGAACATCAAAATACAACATCAAAAGCCAAGTACCCAAATGATATAAGTCAAATATAGCATACTTGTCCATATCCAAACCCAGGATTTCAGTGCCAGAAATTTAAAAATCTGTCATGTTTATGAAGTTTGGTTTGCTTAGTTAGGAGTATGAGTTGTCAGGCTACTTTGAGAGCCATTCTTTGAGAGAATATAAAACAATCATGAGAACTATTACTGTTTCCACATATATAAATTGTGTACTTAAGAAACTCATTTGCCTTTCATTTCTGAATGACTTGTCTTAGAGGAAACAAAATTAAAATTCACCTGGGAATTTGTGCCTCTTGCCTACTACTGTATAGTCGTCATTAAATAATGGGTTCGGTTTTGTTTTCTTTCAGAGTTTTCTTAAAAGTGTTCTTCTCTCAACTGGATATATTACACATAAAGGGAAAAGCAAGTTTTTCTTATCAGCTTGTGTTTACATTTGTTTGGATGAATACTGAAGAAAAAATACAAACCTTAAAGGAAACTTGTCTGTGTGTTTCGTGGATGAGGGGGGAAAGCACATTTCAATATATAAGTTTAAAAAAAATTATTGTTCACTTTAATCAAAAAATTATATTCCCTAAGTTTAATTTGATGGGATAAGCTCTTCATGTAGTAAAATGGCATGTGTTTGATCCACCACTGAACGGTTTAAAGTTTCATTTCTTCCAGTGGATGATCCCGGTTTTACCAGGAACAGTTCAGTACCAGTGACTTAGGGCTGATATTTTCCAACCTAGAATGCATAGAAATAGTTAATTTTTAATGGGATTGGAACAAAAAGAAAAGCCACCTAAAAAATGTAAAACAGTGTGTGTGTGTGTGCTTTAAGTATTGAAGGAAATAAACATAAGATTTCCATTTTTAAATTCCACCAAGAGGGGTAAAGGAAAATTAGACATGTTCGATCGCATTTTGTGTGTGATGGTTAATCTCTTAGATTATGGTTTATTCTTTCCAACCTATGGCCCTTAAATTGTTTTCCTTGCTTTTGAACTGCCAAATCACTTTTTAGATATCTATAATATGTTCAACTTCCTAAAATCCTTCCATTTTTATTACAATCAAGGTAGTTTCAGGTAAACTGGGAAATTTAGTTTTACAAGATTTCTCAAAACACAAGTATTTACTAGTGAAAATCTGAGAGATTATTTAGCCAAAAATTAGATATTTCAATATTTGTTGGAAATTAGTATAAAAATACAACTTTTATAAATTTGTTTTAATATGGACTCACAGACTGATAAGCTGACTCCCACATTCAAGGTTGGTTTTGTTTACAGTCTTTTGGATAAAGAGAGAATACAAATGAATATTGAAATTAGTATGTGGAAAGTAAAATACTAATTATTTTTTATAGCCACTCCAACCTAGTAGAAACATAAAATCTTTAAAATTCAAGCACTTATACTTCAGCTGGCTAAATATGTTTCAATGAATTTAGAAAGATTAAGTAAACTAACCACTAGATACTTTTCTCCTTTTCGAAATTGCTATTTTTCTTTAATATATGGACATCATAATGAAATGTTCATGAACTATATTTCTTAAGATAATAGCTTAGGATATTAATATTTTTAAATTTAATATGACTAATAATCTGAGTAAGATTCTATTAAGATGGTCCACAGGCCCAATGGTCTTCTGTAAGTCAGATCTTGGTCATGGAGAGTGAGAGAATACTTGCCTTACGTTGTATGGTTCCTTAATTTGAGTCATGTAGACTGAAAGCAACTGAATAAAACACTGGTAAATATTAAACTACTGTGTAAAGTGAACTTACAAATTAACTTGCTAAATCTGTGTCTAAAGACTTTCCTGAGAGGCCCTTCTCAATTTTACTTTATGGGTCCTTAAAAGAATCTCTAGGTTAATAAGGTTATTCAAGGCTCCAGATACCCAGTACTAGATGTTATAAATATGAAGTAGTAAAAATAGGCTAATTTGAAAATGAGTATAGATTGAGGTATTTGATACCTGGCTTTCAGAAACAAAACAAAACTGGAGAGTTATTTTGCCCACTTTAGTAGATGTACCTGACTGCTCACAGCTGTCTGTGTAGCACTGGCTTTGTTGTAACTACATTAAGCATTTGTTTTCTTGATTAGGTACAAATGGTTCCGTATTTTTATCCAAGAATTCATGAATCCATTCAGAATTAAAAAAAAAAAAAACACTTTGGATATTTATCAACCGAGATTATGTAGGACATTTGCCTGATGATCTTATAGAACGGAAAAGATTACTTTGCCAGATCTTGAGATAGTCAGGTGTGAATTTGCTTTTAAAACTTATATAAGCAGGTAAAATCTCTTGGTCACAATTCACACTGCACTAGAATTGAAATGATACTTAAATGTTGGCATTTCTGTTTTTCAAGTAGTTGTACATAAGATCTCTCTCACACACATACACACACAAACTGAATGTGTAATGTTCTAAAGTTTGACTTATTTGATATCATTGATATGGTACCAAGTTGTATAGCAGAGTAACAAAACCTTGTGATTTGACAATAAATCTTACACAATATTACCTCTGTAATATTGTTTTGTCTGTATATCTTTTTTTTAAGTTGCTTTTGTCTCATTGCTACTTTAAATGTTTTTGGTAAAATAGTGTAATATGAAAAGTTCAATAAAATGTTGAAGTAAAACCAGTATTTCCCCTCCTTATTGATGTTGGAGGACTACTCAGGCTGGTGATAAAAGATAAAGTTTATATTTTAGGCAGAAATATGCATGTAAAATTAAACTTTTTTGCCGACCATTTGAATTCTTCTCTAGCATCATAAAAGTGATGTAACTGTGATGTGTAGAAAACAATTTCTTAAAATAATTCTTTGCTGTGCATTATATGTTATAGAAGTCGTACACACTGCTATATTTGATACAACAGCCATGTGACATTTTTGGAGTTGTGCTTTTTAAGGAGAAACTAGATACAAAGAGGTTTTGACTTCTCCCACATTAGTCAACTGGGAGAGTGACAAGAACAGAAGCGAGTAGGCAGTTACAAACTCTGTCCCTCCATAGAAAAGAAAAAAACAACCAGAAACTGTCAAAACCACCTTCATCAGAACTTGGGAAAATAGTCAAAGGTCTGCAGCAACCAAGTAACTGCTGACTCAAGAAAAAAGACCATTTATTGGTAGCAAAGCCATTTATTTCTGGCTTTGACTTGCCTTGACTCCCACCTCCTCCCAGGATCCGTGGCATGACCATCTTGAAAACAGCAGCTCATGTGCCCAGTGCAAGGGCACTGTCCCAGATGGAATAGAGCAGACATTGCCAGAAGACAATAAAATGACATATTTATAGTGCTGGAAATACATGTTTTAAACAAGGTTAAGCAAAGCCAGCTGTGTGGCTCATTCCAGTAATTCCAGTTACTGGGGAGGCTGAGACAGGAGGATCACTTGAATGCAAGAGGTGGCGAGAACTCAGCTTTAAAAATAAAAGATTAATTAAGAAGTCTATAACTAGCAAAACCATCCTTCAAGAATGAAGTAGAAATTAAAATATTCCTAGATAAAGCTAAAAGAATTTATTGCTCCTAAGAAATAGAACTTCCTCATAAGAAATATTAAAAGGAGCAAGCTAATATGTTCCTTTTGGAACAAAGTTTGGAGAACGCTTAAGGAACTAAAAGTTGACCTGCCATTTGATCCTGCAATTCCTCTACTAGGTATATATCCAGATGCCAAAAATCATTTTACAACAAAGATATTTGCACCAGAATGTTTATTGCACCCCAATTCATAATTGCCAAGCCATAGAAGAAGCCCAAGTGCCCATCAACCCATGTATGGATTAGTAATTGTGGTATATGTATACCGTGGAATATTATGCAGCGATAAAAAAAGATGGAGACTTTATCTCTTTCATGTTTACATGGATGGAGCTGGAACATATTCTTCTTAGTAAAGAATCTCAAGAATGGAAGAAAAAGTATCCTGTGTATTCAGTACCATTATGAAACCAATATATAATCACACACACTTTCATATGAAAGCTAAAACACAACTATAGCTCAGAATAAAAGAGGGAAGAGGATGGTGAGGGGAGGGGAGGGTAATCAGTGGGACCTCACCTATAGTGCATATTGCAAGGGTACATGTCAAATCTATTAAGAGTATAAATGTCTTAACAACAATTAAGTAAGTGAAGTGAAGGCTATGTTCACCAGTTTGATGTAAGCATTACAAGTTGTATATAAAATCAGCACATTGTACCCTCCTCCCAAAAAAAGAAATGTTAAAGGGAGTACTTTAGGCTGCAAAAAATAAATAGACAGTAACTTGAAGCCATATAAAGAAATAAGAACAGAGGTGAATGTAGCCACATGGTAGTAAGTACAAAAGTCAGTTTTATCATGTGTAAGTTTGTAAATCTTCTTTCCTATTTAATTTAAAAAACAAATGCATAAAGATGTAATCTGCTGACAAGAACAGTATAAAAGGAGAGAGATGAAGATGTATAGAAGAAAAGTATATATCATTAAAATTAAGTTGTTATTCAGATTTAAATGTTACATGATTAAAATGTGAATTATAACCCCTAAAGTAAACACTAAAAACAACTTTAAAAATATACAGGAAAATGAAGAAAGGGGAATAAAAATGGAACATTATAAAAATATAACTTAATGTAAGAAAAAGACAGTTAAGTAGTGTAGGAATTGAGGAGTAAGAAGCATATAAGACACACAGATAACCTATAGCTAATAACAGAATTCTAACTTTATAATTATTTTAAATATAAATAAACTCTCCATTTAAAAGGCAGAGATTGGCAGAATGGATTTAAAAACTGGTATATTTGTAGTATGTCTACAAGAGATTCACTTTAGACAACAGACACAAAGAGGTTGAAAGAAAATAATGAAAAAGTATATTCCATATAAATAACTAAAAGAAAGTTGAGATTATTTCTTCAGTATTGTCAGAGACAATAGATTTTAAATCAAAAGTGGTTACAAGAAACAAAGAAGGACATCCAACAGAAGGACAAAAGGGCATGGCTCTTCTCACTATCTAATGAATTGCTTCCTAGCTTACTTTATATCAGGGACCTAGGAGGGAGAAATTTAGGTAGGTCCTTCCATAAGTCTTTTGTGTAGCTTTCCTTTCTCCAAGTTGGAAGCATTCTCTCTCTTAATTATTTCTTGCAACATAGGGACCTTGTAGTTATCCGCGGACATCTCTTAAGTTCTCTACATATTATACCAGACATTGTTTTCCTCTACACTCCTTCTATACATACCTAGACACAAACAAATAAATTA